TAAGTATGAACATCCTATGAGCAAGAATTATGAATCATGAGAAACAAACATGCTCACACATGAGAGAGAGAGGGAGAGAGAGAGAACCTCAATGTACTGAATGTTGGAAACTTTACTGGTTTTCTCAAGCTGAAGTCCACGTGCTAAAAAAACCTACAAACAGGAGTTCAGAAGTATATAAGTCAAAGCATTGCCAAAAAAAATTAGAAGGCAGGCTAGCTTCTGGGCGCTTGCTATTAAATTACTTGACGGAAAATGGACAGAAAGGAAACATTTGACTCACTACTATCAACATTGTCAGTTCAGTTTTTTATTGTTATTTATATAATATCAAAATAGAGCATATTTAGAGTCAAACCTCTGCGAAAAAGGACAGTGCACCAAGTAGAAGCACGAGGAACAATGAATAAAATGCTGGAAGCACAAACTCCTGCATTGTTAAAGTAAGTTTTATTAACATCTTATAAACAATAGGACAAGCAGAAAAGCAATATAGAAGCAAAACAAGATACAAAATAATGATTTCCATATCCCAATGAGTAGGATCTCTCAAACACCTTGTAAAACATGTTTATCTCACTAAAAATGCTTCACAGAGATGTCTTTTTAAATTGAAGGTGTAAACTCTGGCCAAAAGGCAAAACCATTGGTGTAAACAGTCAAGCTTTTAGTAAGTTATAAGAGCCTAAGCTTGGTATGAGCCTAATAAATTCAGGCTTATTCATGTTGAGCCAAGTTCGCTTTAACATTGAGATCAATTAGGTTAAAACCCCATCTCGGCCCCTCTACTTTAAAAAAAGAATCCCTTTACTTAAGAAAACCCTTTTTTAGTCCTTAAAGTTTATTATCTAGCCCCTTTTTGTCCCTGTTATCTTTTTGCTCACATAGCACATTAGATGACAAAAATTCCAGAGGGACTAAAAAGGGGGAAAAGGGGCGAAAGGGGCTTTTTTTTAGTCCTTTTACTTCGGAATTTCTATCATCTAACATGTCACATATGCAAAAAGATAACAGATGGACTAAAAAGATAACAGATGGACTAAAAAGGGACCAGATAATAAACTTCAGGGACTAAAAATGAGCTTTTTGTTAAAGTAGAGGGACCAAAATGGGATTTTAACTGATCAATTATTTAATTGAGTGGAAGCTTGAGCTGGCATATACTTAACCTGGTTAATATTAGACCTTAATTGAGCTTAAGTATTCTTAAAAAATTACTGTTAATCAAGTGAAGTTTGTGTCTATATAAAGTTAATGGAGCTTGAGCAAACATATAAAAAGCCTTTTAATATTTATTGTGAAAAAATAACAATAACTGAGAAAAGCTGAAGCTATCATGTAGAGTATTTAGGGACTAAAAATGGGCTTTACATTAAAGTAGAGGGACCAAAATGGCGTTTTAATTGATCAATTATTTAATTGAGTGGAAGCTTGAGCTGGCATATGCTTAGCCTGATTAATATTAGATCTTAATTGAGCTTAAGTATTCTTAAAATAAGTATCCTAAAAAATTATTGTTAATCAAGTGAAGTATATAAAGTTAATGGAGCTTGAGCAAACATGTAAAAAGCCTTTTAAATATTTATTGTGAAAAAATAACAATAACTGAGAAAAGCTGTAGCTAACATGTAGAATATTTTTAAAATAATTATTTTAAAAATTGAAGTTAATCTAGTTGACCTCTAGCCTATATAAATTTAACAAAGCCTGGCTCAAGCTTAGACAAGTGAAAATTAGTTAATTGAGCTTAAGCTCAATCTTGCACCTGTCATACTCGATTATGGTACTGTAGCAACTCAGCTTGGCTGAATCATGCCCCCAGTTTAAGAAAACATTAGCTAAGGCACATGTAGGTGACACCCACCCAACAACAAATGCTGAAAAATCTTTGCTTGTTTCTCAAATTACCAATCTAGTTTGCTTTGTACCATTCTTCAATTTTTCCTGCGTTTGAGCCTTATTTATTTCCAAACAAAAGCTTGTATCTTAGCTTTCCATACTATATTTATTGTCAGGGACAAAAGATCCTCCAGGTACATCTCTTAATTTGCATTCCAGGAATAGGAAAAAGCAAAAAGTTACAAGTTTAAGATCAAAATTAGACTAACATCATAAATAAATAGCTGTTAAGATGTTGATATATTAAAGACTGAAAACTTATAATAAAAAAAGTATTCATCTGAATCAATGAAACGAAAATGGTGGCTGAGAAATTCAAGGCAAGCCAGAAATTTTAGCCAGCTAAGACTATCACAAGATTTTATATGATAAGAGCCAATAGCATATGCCACTCAGTATTAGAGCACAAAGACCCCTCTATTCAAACATTGTAAGTGTAGCTTGGCACTTACCTCAAAGGCCAATGTGCAAATTCCAGCAGCAGGGCTTGCCAGTATGCCAAACGAGAGAACAGTGATTCTAAAATAGGAGGATACATTTTCTTTAAGCTTTAATAGAATGATGAAGAAATATAAGGATATGTCACAATATTTTGCCTAAAATATATAAATCAGAACAAATATCATGGCAAGAATAGGGGTAAATGTAAAGGTAAATGTAATTAAAAAAAAAAATTTTAAAGCAGCAAGAATTGTGAAAGGGAAAGCATATCTACACCGTCCATTTGGATAAATTGATGATTCAATCTTGATTAAAAACACATCTAAATCTTACACAGGTTGATCTGATGCCTTTGCTGCAGCCTTTATAAGACAACAGTTGATGCCACCAGCTATAGACGAAAATAAACCAACCAGAACAGCATATATGTGGTTATTTTTGTTAACATTCATATCACTTGGTTCCCCAGCCTTATGAAACCCTCCTGATGACACAGTCAAATAGAGAACTGCCCATCAGATTATTCTTCATAATGCACAATTCTAGGGAGAGAAGTGCAGGAACATGCATAGTTCTACCCAGAATATGAAGAAGCAATATTATTTTTTATCGGTATGAAGAAGCCATACTTAGTGACTGTTAACCAGCCACAGATAAAGTTATAACCGTTTCCATTATCAAAAGAAGAGTAAATAGAAAGAAAGGACATCACTTCAGCTTAATTGTATCAGGCCAAAATAAGAAAACCTTGAGTGCGTGACCATTCCTCATGCAATGCAACCATGGGAAAAAGAAGAACTATCAAGGAATCCAGCATCTAATCCTCTAATATCAGAAATCCACCAAAAGTCCTAAATACACAACAAAATGCATTAATATGCCTTTCACTGGGACAAAGATGTGCTGCAAAATTTCCTTTGAGAATTGCAACCATTTTTGGTGCAATGCAATGAGGGACTAAACTCTGCATTCAGAATACATGAATTCAAAAAAAAAAAAAAGGAAAGTATGGTTTTACCCATAAAGGTAAAGAGAATAGAACAAGCTGTAAAATACAGTTTTGTGGTGGACTTAAGTATAATTTGAGATTTTTAAGAGTGTAAAGCAGCCCAATTGAGTCCTCCTTGTTCAAAATTGGCTTAGGAAGAAAATTTAATTAGCATGATACAAAGAAGGGAAAAAAAAGAAGAAAAAAAGAAAGAAAGAAGTTCAAGATTGTTTGTTAAACTTGTTGGGCTGTTTTCAAGCTAAGTTTGAGGTTTGAGTATCTATTAAATCAAAATAGCATAAACAGAACTAAGTATTATCTCAATTAAAGTTGATATAAATATGGGTTAAATTAAATGAAATACAAAAGGCCCAAGTATCTTCAGCTCTTCTAGGTTCTTAATGAGGGACTGGAACTTTTTATCATAGGTAAATGCAAAACACCAAACAGTGTTGCAAAAAGCACGCCTAGGCATTAGGCAGTGCTCCACCACCTCACCCTAGGCCCTAGGCCCTAGGTGGAGCTATGCATTTCTTTTATTTATTTATTTTAGTTTTTCTGATTAATTTTGGCACTTTATACAATAATAATAATAATAATAATAACAACAATAACAATAAATAAATGCCTAGTGCACCTAGGTGTCCAGGCATTGCCTAGGCGCTAGGTGGTGGCCCAACTCCCATATTAAAGG